CAGCAGGTTGAGGCTGCGGTGGCTGGGAGCGGCCACTGCACTCCAGTCTGGGTGAAAGAGTGAGACTCCAACTCAAAAAAAAAAAGAAAACCAATATGGACTCCAAGCTTTAGGGAAAGACAACAGTTATTTGTTATGGTTTCTCAAGTATCAAGAACTGTGCTAAATGCTCTTCCTGGATCAACTCACTGGGATCCCACAATCTAGTAGGTATTCTTATCCCTTGAGGCACAGAGAGTAGAAACCGCCAGCTGCCTGAAGCAAGCCTCCAGCATACCCAGCAGGCTTCCCTGCAGCTTCCCAAGCCTGGGGAAAAAACCCAGAACTCCCCCCCTCCACCAAGCTAGGGGCTAGCGCTCCCCCACTGCACTCCACTCCCCTCCTGCTCCCTGCCAACCAAGGATGTGCCTGAGGGCTTGGCAAACACCCTCTTAAGGAAGTCACTTGCAGCACACTGTGAAATTAACTGTAGAGATGACTGGACAAGGAACGGGTTGAAGAACTGGTGATTTGCAACTCTAGCCACAAATAAGACTTTACCTACCCTGGCATGAGCATGGACCCCTCAACTCCTGTAATAACCTATTTCTGCAAGATTCCTCAAGACTCCCATCTCATCATCCAATCCTGAAAGAATGGTTTTGAGAAGACAACAGTTCAGGAAAACCCTCCCCAAAAGACAATAAAGAGTCATTCCCAAGCATCCTCACTCTGGGCCCTTTCACTCTGAAGTTTTGGCTGGGATGGAAGTGAAGGTGTTGGAGAGCTTAAGGATGTGAAATTAAACTTTGTGCATTTTACTAAGGAGCCCTTTTGCTCAGTTAACCACCAAAGACTTCTTCCATCTTTGTTTTGCTTTCCTCAGACCCCACCTGTTCCTGGTTTACAACTGTCTGGAAAAGCACAATTGCATCTTCAATCCTTGTGGGTTACTCTTGTCTCATAAAACTCCGGAGCTCAATATTCATTCCTCCATTCCCTCACCATATGCCAGGCACTGGGAATATGGAAGTGAAGGTGATAGTCTCTGACCCCAGGGAGCTCTCCAGAGGGCTCAAATGCTTGGAATCCCCGAGGTAAGTCCTCTAAAGAGTTCAGCGCCCCCACAGCCTCTGCCACACTGCCAGCCAGTCCCCAAGACAGGAAAGCTGTATTGGAAGCCACAGATAAAAGCCTTCACCTACTCTAGCATAGCACGGACCCTTCAGCTCCTGTAATAGCCCATTTCTGCAAGATGCTCCCCTCAAGAGCATCTCATCATCCAATCTTGAAAGACTGATTTTGAGGACCCACTTTCTGTCCAAGTAGAACTTACAAAACGCAGCCCTGGTGGGCTTGTTCATTCCCAACATTCATATAGTCTGCTAGGCTGAAAGTTTGACAGCTTCAAGCCCTCAAATCAAAGACATCAGGTCAATATGGTAGAGCCAGTATGTACAGATGAGGCTTAGCCAGCTCCCGCCTGATCTTCCATAGAGTTCAGAGGCTAACTAAAGCCTCTAAGGTTGGGTTCTAGGCCAAGCCAAGCACAATCTCTCCAGGAGCACTGATCTCCAAGACAATAGTGAGGACTGGCTGTCTGGCTTGATTTCCAAGACAACCGAGGAGGTCAGCTCTGGCTGTGATTCAAAGCAACAGGACAAGCAGTAAGGGTCTGAGACTTCACAGACAGCAGAACTGAATCCATGGGCTACACCTGTCTGCAAGGTATACCCAGTGGGATCTGCTCAAAGTAGATGCCACTGCCCATGTCAAGCATCAGCCTCAGGACAGCAGGCC